AAGTGTACGATATTGTAATTAGTAATATAGTGGATCTTTGAGTCCATATTATCGTTCGCACGAGGACTAGATTTTAATACTTAATTTACTATTTCTAACTACTATCCAATGCAAACAAACAAAGAGTCGTGATTTGTTGTGATTTTTTATCTAACTACTTGAAATTAAATGGATGTACACAAATATCGATTTAGTGTTTCAAATACGGAATAGATATTAGGGCACAACAATTCATCTATCAATAACCTTTAAATCTTAATTCAAGGTTTGTAACCTAATGTAGTGTTTGATCAAATTCTTTTATTGTATTCAATTTATCTCTCTCAAGTTTTTATTGAGCATATTTAACCAATCAATCACATGTCTCTATGTGAATCAAGCTTAATTAAATGAAATATTAATTCTAAGAATTCATTTAAGATTGCAATAATTAGTGTGTGTATCTCTACACGTTATACTAGATTACTAAATTTCAATATGTAGTCTAAATCTAAAATTCACTTTTCGATTTGCAATAAATTTACAAAATCATTGAATTAGTGATTGACTAATTCAAAGCATTAAGTACATAACTAAAAACCAACAAATAAATAATTAAAAGAACTTGAATCTTGAATAAAAAAAATAAAAATTTTCAAAAGATTATATTTTTGCTCTAATACAAAACTTAGCTACTCGTAATAATGAAGAAAAACAGAAGATCTACTTTGATTATATCACCTGATTTTGAATTGAGATGTAGAAAAGAGAATGAATCTTCTATCGAGTTCTCTTCCTGCCTCCAATCTTGATTTTAACCCTAGCTCTTGATTTCTTTTTTCCCCCCTTTGATTTTCTCTCAAATTCCAAAGTTGTATCATGTGTCTCTCAATGTTTGAAATTTCCTTTAAAATGCCTCCATTCATGTATTTATACTTTCCTTTACGTTTTTTCCCCTAATTTGGAGTCATTATAGACTTTTTTTGGGGCCAAAACAGTGCAATCTTAAAACAGGAGGCATGGTGCCTAAGCACTTGAGGGGAGAGTCTAAGCGCCACGATATCAAGTCTGGGTGGCGCCTAAGCACTATGAGTGCAATGTATAGGCGTTGCCTCTCTATTCCAAAACTAGGTCTTTTGGCAATTGCAGCGCCTGGGAGCTTGGGTTTTGGTGCCTGGGCGCTGACTTACTGTTCCAAAACTCATCTCTAGCACTTGGATGCTTCAAGTATGGTGCTTAGATGCTAGTTTACTACTCCTTTTCCTCGGGTTTGGTTTGTTTGTTTACTTCAGCACCCTTTTACACCATCTCATCAAACCTTTAAAACATCACTCGCAAACACATCAAAAACATTTTATACTCATAAAATCTAGCAAATAATCAAGTTAAAATTTTGTAAAACTCGTAAGTAAACATCATAGGGCTCAATATTATAAATGAAAGCAAGGATTTGGAACCATAGTTCCTCAAAGAATGTAATAATCGAAATGATTGGCCAAGCTGGAAAGACGCAATCTAAGCAAAATTGGATTATTAGAAAATCATTTCGAACCTACAATTCAACACCTAAAGGTACAAAGCTAGTGAGGAGTATAAATGGGTATTTTTGGGATACTAAAATGAGAAAAAAAAATTAAACCGTAAGATAAAGATTTGAGATGCGTCTAATGGATGTGATTACAACGTAATTATATGGATTGCTTGATAATGATATCCATATGAAAATTCTTGATGGATTTTAAAATACTTGAACCATATTATTCAAGTTCATCCCCAATGATTTTCTGTTGACTCAACATGAAAATAAACATTTTCGTCATAGAAAGGATAACAAAGAAATTATTAATCCTGAAGTATCACATCTTAGTTTCGTATGTACACTTTTTTCTTGCTAATAATATAAGAACAAATATTGTATTTTCTCTAAGTTTGTTAGCAAGACACAATTCTCCAACTCGAAGTTATTGGAATGGAATTAAACATGTATTTTGCCATCTCTATGGAAGAATTGAGATGGGTTATTTTACTCAAATAAATTCAAATCTAACATAGTTGGTTATGATGACGCTTGGTACTTATCTGATCCACATAAAACTCGATCTCAGACATGCTTTCTATTAAAGTGGGCCTATACTACTATATCATGGAGATCTACAAATCAAACCTTGACTGCCACTTTTTTAAATCATGATGCTACTTACAATCAATGAAACAAGTAGATAACGTGTGTGGGCAAGGTTAATGATTCAACATGTTCAAGAGACATGCGGTTCATCTTCCAACGAAGAAACTCCAACAAAAATATTTGAAGACAATGTTGAATGCATAGCTGATAGCTCCCATTTCGAGGGCAGAAATACCCCGGATGGTGCCACAATATTTAAGATTTGAAAATCACAATCAACATCTCTGTGTAGGTCAACTCAGGATTATTAAAAGAGATGGAACGAAACACATTTTACCAAAATTATTTTTTACCCATGACATTGATAAAAGGAGTAATAATGATATTAAACAAATTCATTCAAAGACAATCTAGCAGACTCGTGTTTGCAAAAGCATTACTCACTTTAACATTTGAGAAGTTGGTGCACAATATTGAAATATGTCGATTTATAGATCTCAAGTAATTATATTGGAACAAAATATGCATTGTACTCTCTTTTCCTTGATAGGGGTTTTATTCCACTAGATTTTCCTCACGAGATTTTTAATGAGACAACATTTACTACATATTTGTAAGAATAATGTACTCTTTTAGCCTCATTATGTTTTTTCTTCTCACAAAATTTATTTTAGTAAGGTTTCACCTATGCATATTCTTTGAAAAGACATCCAAGGACAGTGTTATAAATATTGAGGATGTCTCACACTGAAGTTAAATTGAATTCTAATAGTAGGTTAATATATTCATTTATTATTACAATTGATGCTGCAACATTGAGAATACTTGTATGAGCCTATAAATAGGTTTTGCAAGGATTCGGGAAAGATGAGCAAGAACAGAAATTTCTTTCACGCTTGTCTTTTATATAGTCCCTATAATAATTTCTTTCATTCTATTTATCTAATTTTAGGGGAAAAAAAATCAGTTTTTCGATTTTGGTTTAATGGTACAAGTTCAAATGAGTTTATAGCTTCTGATAAATATAAGAGATGTAATGACTAAAAGCTAAGTCGGGTGAAAAGTAGGATGGATGTAAAACAAAAAACAAATCTAATTTAAAGGACACGTACTGTCATTCGAGTGAATGAGCTTAGTATTGGACCCGGAGGGTACGTAATGAATGAGTTTAAATATATAATATTTAGTAATAAAGATCACAACAAGAAACAAAATTAAAAATAATGAAGAACAAAGAGAGTTAATTGCAGAGGAACGATGTATATTAACTGATGATATGGAGAGAATTTACAGACAAAGTAATAATGTTTAAACAAAACTTATAGAGTAGCCTTTTATTTATAGGTCACATATAAAAATCCTAGACGAGTCTTAGAAATTTTGTTAGGCCCAGTTTAATTGTACCAAGTTTTCCATGGAAAATAGAAAATCAATTCCATTTTCCATCTTTCAGAGTGTTTGATAGGCTTTTTTTCCAAGGAATTCGCTTTCTTATTTTTCTCGGGAACTAGCAATTTTCCATGTTTTCATAGAATTCGAATTCTCACCACATTGGTGAGAATTCGAATTCCAGCCATTGTAACTATATTTTTTTCGATTTTTTTTCTGAGTAATGGAAACAAATTTAAGAATTATTCTAAAAAAATATTTCATTTTAATTGACAATTTTCATGTAAAATAAAGTCAAACGAACACCAAAAGATAGATGATTTTCTTGAATTTCTTGAAAAAAAATTTTGGCAATAGAAACAAATTTCATCTCCAATACCGGTAAAACATATCCCTTTAATTGATAATTTTTATGTAAAACAAAGCTAAACGAACCCTAAAAAACACTTTTATTTCAATATTTTCCATGTAGAAAATTATACCAATCAAACATAATTAATTTACAATTCCCAAAAAAATAATTTCTAGGCAATTCTATTCCCTAAAATTTGTTTTCAATTCAATTCCATCTTTACAATCAAACGTACCCTTGGTACAAAATTCAAATTCTTTACAATATCTTAATTTACTCATCCTAGAAACCCACGGCAATGTTAACACTCACAAGCATTGTTTAGGACCGCTTATGTCATGCATGAGCAACATTAAAACTGAATTTATCCTCAGTCCTCTCAGACTCAGTTAATTCATTAACGTTAATTATAGCAAATATATGTCCGAGATAGCATATGTCATTCATGACGTCACTCATTCTGAGTATCACAAAGACAATAGTTTATCATCTCAAAAGTCATGCAACTTTGTCCTTTTACTATCTAAGATAGCACTGAAAGGAAAATGAAAACGAAATTAAAGGTACAGCTGTCACTGGAAAATCTTATCCTCTATACTGGAAGAGAAAATGATTACTTAAAAATCATATTTTGTAAAAAACTCGGGAGAATAATATGAAAACGTTGTGTTAAATTTTTAATTTCGAAAAAAAAAACAAATGAAAATTAAATAATAAAATTATATAAATTTGTAGCTGAACCCGTAGTTTAGTTAATTCTTGGAAAGACAAAAGAAGTTTATAATGACGAGCAGTTCCTAACTCATGAAAGCCGTTGATTTTTTCTGAAAAATGGTTTTTCCAGATAATGTATGGTTAAAAGCTTGGAAAAAAAATTATGGGTTCACGTGTAAAATTATTTCATTGAAAAAATGTACGATTAAAGTGAATATGATTTTTAAAGTTTTCAAAGAATTTGATTTTCAACGAAGTCTAAAATAAAAATGTTAGGTTTTAAAATTTGATTCCAACTTCGCTTGTAATAGCCAATCAGAATCCATTCATTTGTCAGTAGTAACAAGACAAATTTGTCCAATCGTTTTACTGCAAATCGTCATCTCAAACGTCATGAATTGTCGTATTGATATATATGCCAAAGGCCCCCATTCTTACTCGTTTCTACACCACAATATAACCAAATTTTCTGCTGCATAAGTAGCGTTCTTATCATTTTTCCTGTATACAAATTTTGAAATGGCTCGACCTCATGTGCTTCTAGTAACTTTTCCTATACAAGGCCATATTAATCCATCCCTTACATTTGCCAAGACCCTTAACAGGAATGGCATTGAAGTCACCTTTGTAACAAGTTTATATGCCCAGCGGCACATAGTGAAAGGCGCAGGTGACTTCACCAACGGTATTACTTTTGTAGCGTTTTCTGATGGATGCGATGACGGTTTTAAACTCAGTGATGATCAACAGAAATACACGATCGAGATTAGAAACCGTGGTTCCGAAGCATTAAGGAACACAATTGTTGCCTGTGCCGAGCAAGGACACCCGGTTACGTGCCTAGTTTACAGTCTCCTTCTCGCGTGGGCTGCAGTGGTGGCTCGTGAAGTCCACATCCCAAGTGCTGTTCTATGGATTCAACCAGCCACCGTGTTGAATATATATTACCATTATTTCAATGGCTATCGGGAAGAAATCAGCAATCCCTCTGACGATCCATCGTGGGTAATCCAGTTGCCTAGACTTCCATTGCTAGCTAAACGTGATCTTCCATCCTTTATGCTTCCTTCAGGTGGGGACGGTCAGTATAGCTTTGCTCTTCCGTTGTTTAAAGAGCAGATAGAGACATTGGATGCAGAAACAAAGCCAAAAGTTCTCGTGAATACATTCGATGCACTAGAGCCTGATTCACTTAAGGCGATAGAAGACTACGAGTTGATCGGGATTGGACCCTTAATTCCTTCAGCTTTCTTTGATGGAAAAGATCCATTGGATAAGGGTGTTGGTGGAGATCTTTTTCACAAATCTGACGATTATCTTCAATGGTTGAATTCGAAGCCAGAATCTTCCGTGGTTTATGTGTCATTTGGTAGTCTTTTGAGGCTCCAAAAAGTTCAATTGGAGGAGATTGCTAAAGGATTGCTCGAGTGTGGACAACCATTTTTGTGGGTTATACGAGTAAATGAGAACCAAGAAGAAGAAAAAGATGATGACAAACTAAGTTGTTTGGATGAGTTGGAAAAAATAGGAAAAATAGTACCATGGTGTTCACAACTTGAGGTCCTAACACACCCTTCATTGGGTTGTTTTGTGACTCATTGTGGCTGGAATTCAACGTTAGAGAGTTTAGCATGCGGTGTTCCTGTGGTGGCATTTCCACAGTGGACTGATCAAACGACCAATGCAAAGCTTATACAAGATGTTTGGAGGACAGGCCTAAGGGTGAACCCAAGAGAAGATGGCACCGTTGAGAGCGACGAGATCAAGAGGTGCATTGGAACAATAATGGATGGCAGAGAAAAAAGTCGAGAATTGAGAGAAAATGCTAAGAAATGGAAGAATCCTGCAAGAAAAGCTATGCAAGAGGATGGTTCTTCTACTACGAACTTGAAGGCTTTTATTGAGGAACTTGGAGATTGTTAAGTCAAGAATTTACTGCCTAAAGTTTAATTTGAGGAAATTGCAAAAAATGTCCACTTTTACATGGTTATTTGTAAACATATCCAAAATTTGTTCAATGTCCATTTTACTAAAATTTGGACAAAATTGTCCTCATTAGCAATTTTAATTCCACAATGAGGACAAAATTGTTCATATAATTAAAAATTTGTATTAGCCAATAGTAACTTGACATATAACCTAGACTATTTATTTAAAAAAGTAAAATGTTAATCATGCATTAAATGTTCACTTCTTTCTATAAGTGGGTAAATAAGGTATTTATGAAATGCCAAGAACTACACTTAAAATGTCAAGAACTTTATGAAATATAGAGAACTCTCATGTTCATAACGAAATCTCATTCTAGACAAATGAAGAGTCAAATGTCGAGATAAAAGGGGCCAAATATCAATAACAACTTTTAAAATGTCAAGTATGTCATAAAATGTCAAGAACAACAACCATTAAAGATAACTTATCAACAAAAATAAGATTTCAAGAAAAAATTACCTTCTATCAAGAATTGTGAAGAGCTTAATCAACTCATAAATTTGGATGAGATCAGATTTCTCAAAATAAAATTATATGATTTTTTATGAATTGGAAGCATATAGTTATTTTTTAGTGTTAATGGCTAGTCTACTTCATCTTCTTTATTTTTTTCTAAAATCATTGGTCAATACCCAATCCCTATTTGTTAGCCTTAAAATTTAAAAAAACATAGTTTTGAATAGTATTTTTTGGAAATTATGTTGTTAAATAGTAAAAAATATTTTATTACATAAATGTGGTTGAAAATAAGTATAAGAAATAAATTAAGTAAAGAGAATTATAATAGATAATGAAAGCAAATGAATCCATTAGATATTAGCTAGAATTAGGAGAGTATATTCAGTTGGGACTTTTAAATACTTTCTTGTACTTTTTTTAAGTTACGACTTTTGAGGATTTCTTAGGATTTTTTATAGATTTATGTGGAATTAGTAGGAGTTTTTAGTAGATTTTTATAAACTTTCATTTTAAATTTTTTTGAAAACTTTCATTTGAAATAAAATTCACGTGGACCTAGTATAATAATATAAAATTCTCACATTAGAAATGTTGATTCCCACAATTTCCCTCCCCATATAATAAACAACTATTTTAAAATGAATAAAAATTTAAGACCTTAATTAAATAAATAATAACCGATAAAAAATAAAGTTAATATTAAATACTATTAATATAATATACCTTAAGAGAATAAATAAAATATTTATATATTTAAATTTAATTATAAATTAGTCTACATAAATTTTTATAATTAAATTAAAAATAGATATTTTAACAAAAAAATGAATGAAAAAAGAAAAAAAAAAGACATAAGAAATCAATTTAACTTTTTTCCATAGAAAATAGAGATAAACAATAAAGAAAGAGAGAAAAAGAAAAATAGAAATAAATATAACCAATAGGAAAAATAAATTTTAATCATAACTCTAATGTTCATAAAAGGGAAAAGAAAAGTGAAAAATAGAAAAAAAAAATTACATATTATTATTATTATTATTATTATTATTATTATTATTATTATTATTATTTAAAGTCTCCTAATATCTTGTGATTAATGAAAAACAAATTTTGAAATTTTATTTTAGTACTTTCTATTTAAAAGTTACTATTCTAAAGGAAAAGTTTCAAAAAGTCATTAGAATTTGAATACTGCAAATCCTATAGAGACTTCCAAAATGTTTAATTGAATATAATATAAGTTTTAGAGACTTTTAAAGTTTATAACAGTTTCAATTGAATACACTGCATTTTTAAAGAGTCTCAAAAAATCTATATTGAATACTCTTGAACTTTTTAAATCCCCAAAAGTCATTAAAAGTTTTAATTGAATATACTCCATTAATGAAGTTTTTCATAGAAGCTACTTGTTCTTCTTGAAATTCATGACAAATTGAAAACAGAGCTTCATTTATCATTGAGGGTATAATAGCCAATTTGGTACCACTATTTGCCCTTTTTGCAAAAGTTATCAAAATTAGACATTTTTTCAATTGACAAGCAAGAAAATGTTTTCCTTATTTTGAGGAAAACAAGAATCTACTTCTCCAAAGAAAATATTTTCCTTAAAAACAAGGAAAATTAGGCATAATTTCAAAAATTGAAAAATATTTTCAATAGAAAAAAATAACAATCAAACACTTAAAGTAGGAATTTGGGTAAAAAACTGATATTTTTCTTGAAAATAAAAGCAATCAAACACCATTTTAGTAAATTCCCTATTTAATTTTTAGTCATTTGTCAATCAATTTTGTTATTTTTATTTTCTACTTGTTTCTCAAGGCCTGATGCATTGTGTTACACAATTTGTTGTAATATATCTCCCTTTTTATGACCAAGTACACATTAATTTTTTTGTTTTATCCCCCGCGCGCCTCCAAACTCCGCACAGTAGCACAGAAAGCCATTTGCTTTCTTAAAGGTTAAATCTCAATCTTGAAGGTCCTTACCACCCCATCCCTGGAGTATCGTGAGGGAGGTAAATTGCGGGATGTGTTCCAACAGGCCAAGGAATAAGAGCTTGTCTGTACACTGATGCCCACAAAGAGTCCAGTTTCATATTTCAGTAATCGAACTCTCACACTGTGGCTGTCAGCAAGATTGATACTGCCTTACTCCTATCGTTTGCACCACTGAATTATGCCCCGAGGGCGAAACCATTTGCTTTCTTGTTTTGCAAGGGGTGACTTTTTACAACACTTTGGGCGGTGGAAGTTCATGTTAGATGTAATTATTGGGATGAATATAAGAAAAGACAAATTTGATTACTTTTCTATTTCATCAAGTTGTGATTTCTAGAAGTTGAAGAAAAAATTCAATATAACGATTCTAAATTTACTAAGAGCATGTTCTGTATGAATTAAAATTTGATTTTAATTTAAGTCAAAATTAAAGTCAAACAATTAATATTAACCACATTTTTTATATGTCCCACAACTTTCAACCATACATTTCAAAAACTTTGATCATAATCTACTAAAAAATCTAATTTTAATCCCCACTAAACACCTTCTAAACCAAGGCCTAGCTTGTTATTATTGATTAGCCATTTTTGTCGTTAAAATGTTTTATGTCGTTTCAAAAAGATTAAGAAATCATATAATCGACTACCGGACTACATATGTAGTGTGAAGAAAGTTCAGTTCGTTGCTACTATTGACTAACATTTTTTTGTTCACGAAGTTTTAAGTAATAGGAGAATTCATATAGTGAATTCGAAGTTTAGTTTATTGCTGTTATTATCTTCATTTCCTCATTTAAACTATTTTACAGTTCAAAAAGGAACCATAATTACACTTTCCTTCACTGTTGGCAAGAAGAAAGCCAAGTTAAGCCAATATAGTCAGCAATTTGCTTACCTTATTGTCCAGTAGAAATTAACTACAATGCATAACATATACACAAATGTTTTAGAAACAAAATACACATGCAATGCACATGTAGCCCATCGGTAATTACAAAATAAATGATGCGTCTATAATTGTGTTCGTGATTCCATAATGTCAATTAAAATGTTCTTCGACTGTAAGAACTAGCACTCTAGAAATTTATGTGATACGATGTTGAATACTCTAACTATGAGTTAAAACTTAAGAGCAAAGCTACCAAAAATAAGAACCACAACGCTAGTCTAGCAATAGAGCAACATCATGTTGAATATGCGTATAAGTTGAAAATCGGTGAAAAACACAAGTCAAATTGAGTTTGCTTGCTAAAGAGATTATAATCACAATGATGTTTTTAATTAGTGATTAAAATCACAATACTCACTATGTCCATTATTATAAATATTTGACAAAATTGTCTATTTAAGCCTTTTTGTCTAATTTTATGGTGATCCAAAATTATCATAAATTTTGGGTTGATAAATTCAATTTGTATATGTTACATATTTTAGAATATAATATGTATGATTGCAATCTCGCTTCTCTCGCAATTAATTATTTATTTGTATGAACTAGAATGATCGTATACCACTTTTTATTGCACCATATGTTCATGTTGATTTATTATATTTTAAGTTTCATTCTAGGTTTTCAAGAGAAAGAATATGTAGGAGTGGGTGCGGGTCGGTTCGGTTCCGAACCAAAATTTTCGGGTATCTAGTAAATGGAACCGTTCGGGTTCGGTTCCGTTCGGTTCCTTTCGATTTCGTTCGGTTCTGTACTAGAATTAAATTTTTTAACATTTATAACGACATTATATAAATATAACTAATGATACATTCAATGATTTTGAAATGTTAGAAACTAGTAAATTACCTTATTCAAATGATCACTACGGTCAAAGTTTCGGTCGGCAGAGGTCACAGTGTCGGCCGACGACTATATAGGTTTTGAAATATTAGCGAGGTTGCGAGAGTGAGTATGAGAGTCGAGACAACGTTATGTACTTTAGTGTAGGTGTTTAGGGTTATTTAGTGGATTGGATCTTGTTGGGCTAAGAAATGAAACAATAAAATGGGTAATTGGGCTAAAAATTAAAAAATTAAAAATGAAACAAATTATTTGGCCAAAAATTTGGATTTAGAAATTGTTAATTTATTAATTTGTTTAGAAAAAATTAAAATTAAAATAATTTGATTTACTCAATATAAAAAAAAAATTAGAAAGATTCGGTTCTTGGTCTAGAACCGAGAACCGAACCATACCCGTCGGTTCTCAATTCAGATACCCGTTCGGGTATTTAATTTGACAAGAACCGTCAGGTTCGGTTCGATTCGGGAGATTTGCCCAGCCCTAAGAATATGTATTTATAGAATAATATGTTCTCCAATCGTGATTATTAGCACTTTACAAATTTATGTGACATGGGTAAACTTTTAAAGAGTAAAGCTACCAAAAATGAGGCTAACAATGCCGGTCTTGCAAGAGATAGCATCATCATGTTGAATGAACTAACTATAAGATAAAACCAATTAATTCAATTTAATTAGTTCTATATGCAAAAGTTAAAAATTGGTGAAAAATACAAGTCAAATTGAGTTTGCTTGCTAAAGAGATTATAGTCACCTAGGGATGGCAAAAAGGCTCGAGGGCTCGGGCCGCCCGTGACTCGGCTTGAGGCTTGGGC